CCATAGGCTGGTACTTGGTTTGGTATCGGTATTCCGTTTTTCCGTAGTTGACATCAATACACTGCACTGCACATACAACAGGTCCGCCACCGACGCCTCGGCTACTCTGCAACCCACGCACACACATCAGGTTCGCCGACAACGCCCCGGCCACTCCGCAAATCACGCACATACATCAGGTCCGCCGCCGACGCCTCGGCTACTCTGCAACTCATGCACATGCATCAGGTCCGCCGCCGACGCCTCGGCCCCTCTGCTACTCATGCACACACATCAGGCCCGCCGTCGTATAGCCTCAGCCACCCCGTAAAATCTGCACCGGCATGGGTCGAGAATATGGTATGGCAGGCATGGCACGCGCCACACCAACTTAAAAGATGGTATGGCAATGCCATACCAACTTTTCAGGGTAACAGCTACGAAATTTAAGGATTTCAGTTTGATAAGAATAAAACACGATAGTATTGTTTCGAGCAACTGGCGCCATACCAACTTTGAAAACAATTCTCCACCCATGTTCGCACGTACATGAGGTCCGCCGCCGACGCCTCGGCTACTCTGCAACTCACACACATGCATCAGGTCCGCCGCCGACGCCTCGGTTACTCTGCAACGGCACATACATCAGGTCCGCCGCCGACGCTTCGGCTACTCTGCAACTCACGCGCACACGCATCAGGTCCGCCACTGACGCCTCGGCTACGCTACACCCCTTGCACGTAAGTACCTACTTCAGGACCGCCGCCGACGCCTCAGCTACTCTGCAACTCATGCACATACATCGGGCCCGCCGCCGACGCCTGGGCTGCACTGTAACCCCTGCACACATCGGGTCCGCCACCGGCGCCTCGGCTAATCTGCAACCCATGCACACGCATCAGGCCTGCCGCCGACGCCTCGGCTACTCTGCAACTTACAGGCGCCAGGTGCGCCGCCGTCACCTCGGCCCTCTGCAACACGGTAGGCACTTAGCTTACTAAAGCGCATTTTAGTGACATCAGAGCCTGAGTCGATCGCCGGCGACCTGGTCACTCGTGGAGGTGTTCACCGCCGTACCGTACAACACGGAACGCAGACCATTTAGTCACGCCGGCGATTCGATCGGAGTCTGGCAGGCGTAGTTCAGACACGCTATTGTCATCGCATATAACATCTTGCCACGAAACCTGACACGAACCTGCCTGGGAGCCGCTTCAATAGCGAGATAAAGCAGCACTTGTTGACGAGGCAACGTGGCGGGGTTGGTTAGATGGGATAAGGCCCCTTGTCAAAACAGACCACGCATTTCGAGAAGCGCTTCCGAACGCAACCTGATGGACATACGCTGCCGCAGAAACACATCTCAGCCAGTCACCTTGGAGGCTCGGTTTAGCACTCAAGGAGTCTCTTTGTGAAAAGGTCTCAAAGTATTTTCTAAGTGGCCGCCTCCGTATTTCTGCAAATCGGCATACGCATACATCCGGTCCGGCGCCGACGCCTCGACCACTCTGTCTACACTACACACCTGGTCCGCTGCCGACGCCTCGGCTACTCTGTCTACACTACACACCTGGTCCGCTGCCGACGCCTCGGCCACTCTGTCTACACTACACACCTGGTCCGCTGCCGACGCCTCGGCCACTTTGCGCTTAACACATACGCACACACACACACACACACACACACACACACACACGCACCCCCCCCCACACACACACACATACACACCCGGTCTGCGTCATGCATCGGCTGCTCTGCAACTCGACAGGCATCTAGCTATCGACAGACTATGAACTTCTTTCGTCCAATGTCTGAAATACTGGGCTCAACGGTGGCAGACGAGACCGAACGAACAATCCGCACACACTGAGAAAACAGTTTCTCCTTTTTCGGTCTCAGAGATCAGTTTCGGGCTAATGTCCCCGATTCAAAACAGATCACACATTTTGAGAATATTTTCTGAACAACGCCATTGATCGCAGAAACAGAGCTCAGTCGGTACCTATTTTCGGTGTCAAGCTTTTAAAAATTAGTCTTACTATGAAACCAGTTTCCAGTCCGAACCCCAGTTTCGGTATCGCTTGAATCCAGTATTCGGGTACATGAGCCCTTAGGAAGCCTTACTGAAACCGTTTTAAAAATCAGACACATTTGAGGCTGGTTTTCAGCGCTCAATTGAGTCTTTATATTCAAACTGCTCTCAAAGTGTATTCTGAGTGCAGGAATCGAGCAAGCACAGACAAAATGCATGCAAGATCATGCCCGGACACAACTACACCGACTACGCCGCTGCCTGCCGGCTCCCCACTCTCGAGACTCCGAGTAAGCGTCGCGACACTGCAATCTGCGGCAAGCTGGCAGCCGACACTTTCGCGAACCCTGCCCACCCACGGTAACCCGTGCGAGCAGCTGCCAAATGTGAGTCCCCATATGCGCTGGCAATGCAAAGTTGTCATCCCGCAGGCCAGAACGGAGCGGCAGAAAAGTCATCGGCGCCCGTGCTCACAGGCCTCATGAACAGCACGTGATTCTTAGGTAGGGGTAGGTGCGTTTAAAGTACCCTAACAATGCACCGTTCCTACTTTCCGTGAGGCACTGTGCTTTGCGTGCGGTGCCATCACAGCACCGGAATCTATGCACAACCTTTTCTACCAGTCATTCACGGCCACATGGCCATACAAACCCCATTTATGTATGTGCGGTCGTATGAGCACGTAAACCGGGTCCGCCGCCGACGCCGCGGCTAAGTTGCGCGCAACATAGGTCTACGGGACCGCTGCAGACGACTAGATAATCTGCAGCACGATATCAAAGACGAAACCAGGCCACTGATCCCAGATTCGCGGCATTCCATTTTAGCCAGCACCGATGACGTCGGTTTAGGCGCCGGGAAGCGTGCCGGGCTAAACATCACAACCCCGAGGCCGTGAACACGGGGGTCCAAGACCGACACGAGGACAAAACCATCGGATCGGACCCCCCCCCTCTCACCGCAGTGTGTCCAGGCATGGCTTCACACACACCGGAATATCAGCGAACGACACGGCAGGGCCGCCGGGAACCACAGTCGCCCCTCCCCCCCCCACCCCCTCCCCCAAGGCCGACCGCGCCGACCGCCAGTCAGAAAAGACAGCCATCGGCGGAGCCAGAGCCGGCCGCCGGCCGCTGTCACAGCCCCGGCACCGCCATGACACCGGACCGGCTGATGAGACAGTCAACGCCGGGGCAGCCGCGGGCCCGCCTGCCGGTACTGTCCGCGGGGCCACAGAGGCTCACAGTGGGGCCGCCACGGTCCTCAAACCGGGCGACAGCGGCGGGACGGGCCGCCCGCCGCAACCTGATACCAGCCGACGCCGCACGACCCGGCTCCCCCGCTGGTCCCCCGGCGGCCACGAGAGGCAGACGACTAACGAACACCCCGAACACGGTCACGTTCCATTAGTGGGTCGCGGCGCCCCCACGCCGGTCGACAGTGAGTCACTGGCGTCACTGTGCGGGGAGTATGGGGTCCAGTCACAGCTGACTCAGGACGGGAGCCGACCTTGGGGTGGAGGGAGTCCCTCGCCGCCCCGGTTTCACACTAACTGGTTCGACCCAAACTCACCACCAAGAGCCATGCCGCAATAACAGACCGGGCATCGCCAGCGGAACACACTGGGAACCTTCCGCATGCGGCATGTGCCCGGATTCGTGGTCAAACCATTAACTGCTCAGCAGAGATCGAGAAAGGTGTGGGCAGCGGACGCTTAGCCTAAGACTTTTTCATTCCATTGGGTGTATTTGGCGCTTTTTAGGGGCCGTCCTACCCTACAAACGAGCCGACGCGAGTGGTTTCGGCCGCTGACAGCCAACTGAGGCGAACGCTTGGTGATAGTGGCGCGGGCAACGGGGGCCTAATCAACTCATAGCGGCGACGCGGCTATGGAAGGTTAGGACCCTGCCCGGGCGCCACTGAACGTGACCGGAGCGAAGGGAGACGGGGGTCGGAGATAGATAAATCACCCCGCCGACAGACGCGGGGCAGACCCTGACTAGGGGTGGTGCGAAGGGGAGTGTAGGAACGGGCGCGCCGCTGGCAGGAGAGCCGAGAGGCGCGAACGGCAGTCGTCGACTGCGACGGACGGCGAGTGGAGCAGAGAGTGGGCGAGAAGTTTCCCACCCACCCTCACCTATTTAATAGATGCGACTTCGAGATTCGTCAAACCTGCATATCCTTAATCCCGACCATATACCTCGTCGTTATCACTCCGTCGGTGCGCTTTTTAGGGGCCGTCCTACCCTACAAACGAGCCGACGCGAGTGGTTTCGGCCGCTGACAGCCAACTGAGGCGAACGCTTGGTGATAGTGGCGCGGGCAACGGGGGCCTAAAATGAAAATGCTGGTGCTTTTATCAAGATTCCCTAGTGAATAATGTTACATAAAAGACGTGTAAAATACTCACTGTAAGGGGCTCAAGTGTTGTGCTTGTTGTTTGTTATCGTTGTTATATTTATCCTTGTTATATTCATGATCATGATTGTGATTGTAAACGATTGAAATTACACATTTTCCTAGTTAATTGAAATGTTTCAAAGGCACCTTTCACAGGCAATCAAAGCACACATCAAAGCTGCTGACAACCACACGGGCACCTTCCTGTTGGCTTTTATCGATCACGGTACACCGTGCTGGCCTTTTATCAGTTGGCAAACACCGTGAGGTCCCCGTACTTCCCGGTGTAGCTGGCATGGGGGGGGAGATAAGGGCCTAGCAGCACAGCCGATGGAGATTTGAGACTTCAGCACTGACGAGGAAGAATGGAGAGTCCAGACAAAGCATGGCAGCATAGGCGTTTCCTGCAAATGTAAGCTCTGATCGGATGTGCAGACCTCCCTTTCCTGCAAATGCAGTCCCCAGGATCAGATGTGTCGAGTTCGACCTGCCTTTGTTGCAAATGCAGTCCCTTGGTCAGATGTGAGGCCTACCCTTCCTGCAAATGTAGCCTCTAGGTCAAATGTGTAGTGTAGACTGTAGACCTTACCTTTTCTGCAGATGTAGTCCCCTGGCGAGAAGAGCACTGGCCGCAGACGTAACACCAGCTCGCACAAAAAGCCGGCCTCTGTGTTCTGGAAGATCTCCACCCTCTTCAACGTGTCTAAATGCACGTGAATAGCTATTTCCGCCTTCAGCTTATCTGCAAAGGTTGCATCAGGCACATTAGAACCAGCATGCTATTTAACTCAACTTTATAGGTAATCCCTGCAAATCGTTTTAAACAATACAATGCACATCACTTAACCCACGAGCCGCTGGGGGGGGGGGCATAAAGTTGCCCCCCTTTACGTTTTGTAAAATATCTCCGAAACCTGATGAGCTACGAACGTGAAACTTAGCATAGCTTCAAATGAATACCTCGGCAATGTTTGAGGAAAGTTTGGTGGCTAAAGCACCTAAGATGACGTCACAGTGACGTCATAAAGTTTTGTCGTTTTCCGATATGGACCGTTTCTGATGGTGCTGAGCATGAAACTCAACTGTAAATGAACTAGACAGCACCTGCTGTCATCCTAAAACAGCTAACTACACTTCCATCTAGTTTCTGACCAATAATCGACCCTTTATATTCGGTCCCATATATCTGATGTATCGTGAAGAATATGAGAGTCGCAAATCTATAATTTCACTTATGACGTCACTGTGACGTCATTTCAAATGGGATCGACACCAAATTTGGACACAACCTCGGCTAGGTATTCAGAAAGATGTGTGCAAAGTTTCGCTTTTCTATCTCTTCGCGTTACGACGATATCGTTGCAGAAGTAAAGGGGGGCAACTATATGCCCCCCCCAGCGGCCGGCGGGTGGCGCGGAGGCCCAGCGGCCGCCGGGTTAACCCTCGCCGGACCTATTGGTTTTCTACATACGCGCCGGCCGAGGGGGGGGGGGCGGGTACGACCCCCCCTCGCCGTTTCGCCCCTGGTGGAGCTAGCGCGTCGCGGAAAAAACGAGCGTGTGCGCCGTTACGAGACGCAGAGATTGGTACCCGATTTTAAGGTCCTAGGTCAACCGGTGACCTCTGAGGTCAGGTCAAGTGCCCCAAGGTACGGTTCCGTTTTTGGTGAATAACTTCGCAAAAAACGGCCGCAGAGCGCCGATTTTGGCAGCATCGTGTTCGTCTCGCTCAGGCGCGTCGAATGATATACTATTTGTCCGGGTCAGGTCAACTTGGGGTGTTGACCTCAGGTCAAGGTCAGGTCAGCACCCCCAGGTCACGAAGCTGGTCGAAAGAGGTCATGTCGCATATCATTCGATTCGGCAGGTCTTCCTGAGTCCATTGGTGGCTTTCCCGACTCGCTAGCTCAATTTGATCAAGAGTTATTGACGAAAAACTAATATGACCTTGATGACGTCATAAATGACGTCACGCAAGGTCAACATTGCAAAAGTGACGCATCTTACCTTGCAAGGAGTGCATCAAATCACGATTCTGTGTGCTTGAGATAGTTGGCGATCGTTCCCGGCGCCAGAATAGCAGTTTGAATTTTTCCCCATTGACTTATAATGGTGAGGTCACGAAAATGACCTGACCTCATATGACCTTTAGGAAAAATCCGAGATATACAAGTTGTGGGACTCATAATGGATACTAGATCCTGCCAGTTTCAATTCCCTGTGACATCTCCTCTGGCAGTGAGGGCGTTGCGAAGTTGCGACATCTGAAGACCGTGCAGAGGTTCACTTATGACGTCATAGGTCAGTGACCTGACCTGACCCAAAAATGCGGTTGGTGTCAAAAGATCCGGCTTGGATCAAAGGTCAGGTATGCAAAGTTTCAGCTCTCTATCGCCAGCGTGTTCGGAGCTATCGCGAAAAAACCCTATGGGGGGGGGCGGCACCCGCCCCCCCCCCCCTCGGCCGGCGAGGGTTAACACAAGAAGTAGCAGTGACGCACGAAAAAAAGCTATACAGAAAACATTTATTTTTCTGTTGTTAATCGGACTGAAAAGAGCCGCACCAGTCCACCGGCAGCTTCTCCCCATGGCACGAGTGTAGCAATCCCGCGGGTCCCGGCGCAGCGTGGGTCCTTTACCAGAGCGCGGCCCGTCTGTCCTGCGCTCCGTCCATTTCCAATCGGCGGGCCTCTGCTGAGCAGGCGGGACCGGCCGCTCACCGCCCGCGTCATAGCCGGATCGGGCCCGGTTTTCGAACGTGTGGGGAGAGCCAACTGGCCCGGCGCGGTGGGGCCGTCCGCCGGCCGGCAGTGGCCGCGAAATGGATCCAGCCGGCCCGCCGGCGGCTATCCGGCGTGTCGGTCGGAATTCCACCCGCCCGACCTTCGCGCAGTCTCTGATTGAATTCGGCCGCCATCCAGCTGCCGCCAGTGGGCTCTCTTCGAGATTCGCTCGGCCTGTTTCGTTTTATGTTTGGTTTCGATGCGAAGATGTGAAGGTAGTATTGAAAGATATAAGAATCCGCTAGAGTGTGATAGACACATATATGAACCTATTATGACCGACAATCGACATTTTATATGTAATTACAAAGTGACAAAGAGGGAACTGCGTCAGAGGGAATCACCTCACCTGGTAAGCAGCTGACGGACTTTTCCTCGTCTGAGCTCTTCTGCGTCAGCCACAGGTAGTCGAACCACTTGATGACCTTATTCTGCAGGTGACCGGGCACTCGCCGCATTCGCATGTACGTTTTCACAGCGTCCAGCTTGGCTGTAAATAACAGTAAAAACGTGTCATAAGCTCAAATGTGTTCACATCCTCACATAACATGTTAAGTGTTCACATTCCTGACATAGCTGAGAGTGTGTTTCACTCATAGAGATCTTATATATCAGATTTCCACGGTTTCACTCACAACTGCGAAAACATCTCCAGTGACAAGTAGGCATACCGATTTATCATTTTCGTCTTTCGAAGCTAAATTAAAGACGATTAACAAATAAGTAAGGGGTCAAAGAAACATGATAAAACGTATATAAAACCGCGTTTTGAACGTTTTTTCTTAATAGATTTATGAAGCGACGCAGTCAAGGTGCAGAGATGCAGCGCTGGGGGATATCGATTAAATGTCCATCATTTCATCAAACCGCTACGAAGTCAAGCGATCGCTCTTCCAAATATTTGAGTTGTGCTAAAAGTATTCTTGATAGGCAGGTTTTCGTTGGTACTTCTCTGGTTTATGTTGGAAAGACCGGCGAACATTGATTGACATCTTGCTTAAATGATTGAAAACAATAGAATATTCAATAGTGTAACACACATCGGACCATGGCATATTCAGCATATCAGTCGTCGATGAAACATTCTGCGGGTTGAAGCTTTAAGTCATGACACCTGCGACACTGGCTCGGTATCTCCATTCATCCCTTGTTTTTGGTTCACGGAATGAAGCGGGAAGGGATCGGAGTGTGTTTGACGCCAATGTGTCCCTGCGGACCGCGTTCGTTATGACCTATTTCCGGTCCGCCCGTCTGTCCGGTCCGCCCCGCAGTTGGACAAATTATATTATCCGAAACAATGGAGCGTCGCACTCGCTAGTTTGCATGACAATCATTTACAAAGAAGTATTTGCTGTTAAAAGGACTCAGGCAAATAACACAGTTTAGCAGTTGCATAATAGGTACGTAGTCGCTACTGTAATTGCTGCTTATAACATTAATGTCGAAGAGTAACAGATGACACATCAATTTCGTCAGCATCAGAGCGCAAGCATGTAATTATTTTTAGAATGGCGGCTAATTTTGATGCTTTATACGGTGATCGAATGTGTTCAAGGGTAAGGTTATTGGATGTTTTCTTGGGAAAAATTATGGTGTCGTCTGATCTGGCCCATGATACAGCGCTCTGCCGAACTGGCTTTGGTCTTACGTCAAAGGCTAAAAGATAAATTTCGCGGTATAAATAGACTGTTGGAGAAGCCATGCTGTTATAGATAGGGTAGAAATATGAAGAAACAGTGTGGTTAATAATGATGCAGGCATGACAAGGATCAGGAAAACGAACGACTACAAAAAGGTAATAAATGCGTACTTATTACCAGGGGCGGAGCTCGGGTGGGGCAGCTGCCTCCACCAACTTGCCATTTTGTCCCACCAATTAGCGTTTTTCCCCACCAACCTAAGCTATTTTGTAGGTAGGACTTTGTTGCTTTGCAAATAAACCTTTTTCGCAGTGATGAGCTTTGGAACGTCTGTGTAATACAAAATATTGTATCTGTTACGATAGAAATTGATAGGCATTTTATTCAACTTGACAATCGGACACTATATAGGTTTGACGACTTTTTGCCTCACCAACTTCCTGGAAAAGCTGCACCCATGCCTATTACTACGTCCTAATACTGCCATACAAGTCCATGGGTAGATGAAATGGCAAATACATATGGACATTTTTCGTAAACGCGTGACGCCTCAGAGAAATGAAAAACAGCAGCAAGTGTGATGGACAACTTCCGACATCAGCTTTACTGCTCTCAACGATTACTAATTGATCGCTCGCTTGGATGTAGGTATGTACCTACCTATCATGACCTTATGACTAATTTATTGATCAGTCGCGTTACATACCTTTGGTTTGTATGAATCATCATCAACGCTTTATAAAACTCATACCTGTGTAGGTACAGAAAAAAATATGCCAGGCTTATGGCTGCATTGTCGCTAAGAAAGAAAAACTGATGCAAGTCTGAATGTTAATGCCTAGACGCTGTGAACTTTAAAGCGTGTGAGCTGAAGTTTCGCCATTTTGCATTTAATGCCTAAGTCTGCATGGGTTTCACTATTTTTAAAAGGAGATTTTCATAATTCACATTCGAATTAAGAAACTTTTCAACCGATGAAACATTGTTGAGATTAACCTTATGGACAGTGGCCTCGCTTTGGACGAGTGCAAAATTGTAAATGTGCTGTCGAAATGGCTTACATAAAATGAGAGAAATGCAGTGAGGTGCCATGGCTATTACATACGAACATGCTAACAAATGTTACATGGGTGAGGTTTCCCGGCAATGACATCCACCCTCGGATCTCCCCTGCCGCGCTCACCCAGGACCTCCCCTGCCGTGCCAGTGCCCGCGGCGGGTACTCACCCTGGAACTCCCTGGCGGGTACTCACCCTGGAACTCCTTGCGCGCGGCACTGACGTTGGCCACAATGTTGGCCACGTGCCCGAGCACGGCCGCGAAGAGGAACATGCCAAACAGCAGCTGTGTGACGATGAACAGGTAGTCGCCCTTGTTGACCGGCTGTGGCAGGTCGCCGATGGTGGTGAGCGCGCGCGTGCACCAGTAGAGCGCCACCAGGTGCTCCAGCACCACGTCGTCGACGGTGTGGTTGCGCGGCGGCGCGAACTGGTCGCTGAAGCCGCGGTTGATGCAGATGATGTGGTAGAGACAGGCGTTCCAGTGGAAGCACACCAGCAGGTAGTGGATGAGCGACACGGTGCGCCACACGTTCGGGTAGTTGGTGTGCCGCTCCGTGCGGTCCATGAACGCCCAGAACCGGTAGATTTTCACCAGACGGAAACAGCGCAGTATCGAGTTGTAGCCTATCGACAAATACAAGAAGTCCAACGGTAAAAGGCAGAGCGCGTCGATATAAAACGTCGTCGAGTTCATGTAGTGCGTTCGCAGTTTCACCGAGTCTGTCTGTAGCACACCGTCCTCCAGGTAGCCGGTGCGGAAATGAAAAGCAATGTCCAGCGCGTAGATGAGGTCGGACATGTAGTCGAGCACGAACCACACGACCACTGTGTCCGGCGCTATCTCGCGGAAAGCACATCGGTAGATGATCACCCAGAAGTTATAGAGGAAGGCCAGCGACACGACCATGCTCCAGTAGTAGCAGAGCCGGCCGGCCGGGTCAAATACGAACGTCCAGCGGCAGCCGTGCCGGCCCTCGTCGCGCCGGTAGCCGTCCAGCAGCTTGGTGCGGATCTCGCGCCGGCGCGCCTCGCGCGTCTTGCGCGGGATGTCCAGCTCGGAGATCTGCGCCCGGTTGATGTACGAGCTGCTGAACGAGTCGCGGCTGAAGCGCTTGCCGCCGCGCACGCTGAACCGGCTCGAGACGAGCTCGATCAGCGACTGCTTGGAGCCCGAGCGGCACTTGAGCGAGTCGACCGAGGCCTTGGCGGCCGCCGCCGGCGAGGTGGTGTTGAGCCGCGTACTCGACTGGCTGAGCCGCTCCTGGCCGCGCGACGTGATGATGCCTGGAACGCACAATCAGTCAGACGCGGCGACAACGGGGCTCCACAGTGGTGCAAATGGGGATTTATTTAACAATTTACCCTTCTCTTTCGCAATTAGGTTTCAACTCTGTTGCAATGTGTCGAGTTACAGAGAACGCTACCTGAACTTCTCGAAATTTATTTGTAATAAATGACTGTCAGCGTCAGCTATCCACCGGTCTCTTATTATAGCTGGCGCTTGTATCAAATGTCAGGCCTCTCATCTTTCAATCCCGTTAAACCTGAGCCCCTTGCCTCATCAACTTCACCTTGCATCATTACTTTGTACCACCTGAACTCAGGCCCAGAGCAGACTTATTTTTACCTTTGAACCCGACAACACGTACTCAGTGACCCCAGTTAGCACCAAAGAGCAGCGTTCGTTTGGCTCTCGCTGTACGCCTGACCCCGCCACTTGTTTGTGTCGCTGGCCCTGTGTTCATCCCTTCGCCATGGCCCGGAGCAAAAGTCCGCTATCTCTATCACAACAGTCGGTATTACCATTTCACCTCATGACCTGTAAATGTTCACCGGTAACTATGACTTCAATTTGACATTTACCTTATTCCCTGAGCCTGGCCTGCCTGACTCAAAGAGACTGCATGAATTCCTCGGCTAGTCCCTCGTTGACCCTTCTTGAACTGGACTATTATCCTTTTCCATCATTCCTATCGGACAATTAACTCCTCCCTGACACTTGACCCCTCCCTGACCACTTTTCAAACTCTTCCCTAAGCCTCACCTTCCTGAACTCTGCCTAGCTCATCCGTGACTCCTCGACTGGTCCCTCTCCGACTCCCCGACTCCCCGGATGCACCTAGCCTCGACTGCCCCCTGATCCCTCACGGACTCCGACTACCCACCTGGCCCTCCCTGCCCTCCCCCTCCCGGTACGGAGCTCATCTGGCACCACCTCTGGCCCGCTGTCGTACCGGACCTGTCCCTCCCCCTGGTCTCACCTGGGACCACCTTGGGCCCGCTGCTGTACCGGACCTCCCCGGTCTCACCTGGGACCACCTGGGACCCGCTGCCGCCTGTACCTGTCCCTCCCCCTGGTCTCACCTGGGACCACCTTGGGCCCGTTGGCGGTGACGGCGCCGCTGCCGTACCGGACCTGACCCGGCTCGGCGTTGGAGACGACGGCGATATCATCCAGCTCGTCGTCGGCCTGCAGCTCCTGTCTGGAGCAGGGTGTGTAGCGCACGGCCGCCTTCGAGCCGCCCTCGGAGCCGCGCTTCTGGCCGCGTGAGAACAGCTTCCGGCCGGACATCGCCCCCCGCGTCACTTCATCCTGACGGGGAGGGGAGGGGTCAGCTGAGAAGGTTACTGTGACTCCATGATGATGGGGGAAGAGTTGAGCGACCGATTGACACGCTGTCATTTCATCCTTACGGGAGATGGGCGATTTCAACTGACTTTATGGTAACGGGGAGAGGGGATGGGTCAGGTGGCCTAACGTAACTTTATAGTGACGGGGCAGGGGCAGCGGTCAGCTGGCATAGCGTCACTTCATGGTAACGGGGAGATGGGAGGGTCAGGTGGCATAAACTCACTTTGTGGTGACGAGAGAGAGAGAGGTCAACGGAGATATCGTCACTCCATCCTGACGGGGGAAGTCAACTAACATAATGTCACTTCATGTGACGGGGAGAAAGAGAGAATCAGCTAACATACGGTGACCTTATTGTGACGGGGGAAGGTCATCTGAGAAAGTTATTGCTACTTCAGGGTGGCGGGCAGAGAGGATGGGTCAGCTAACGTAAGCGTCACTTTATACTGAAGCGGGGGAGAGGTCAACGGACAGAACGTTCTGCCCAACACTTGATCTTTACGTTTGTGTTTTGAATTACACGCGCGGAGTGCAAACTTGGACGGCTGGCAACTGCTACCAGTCCAGAGAGGGCCGCGCTGCTGGACCCACGAGGATCTACTAGCAGTTGGATCGCATCTCTAACTAACTAATACTAAATTGCAGCCGATGAACTGGAATCGGGCAGCGCAGTAGTGGGCAATGATACATTTCTCAACGAGTCTTGATTAGCATGGAACCATGGCACATAGTCACTCGCTTGCCCAATGTCCAGTCTGACAAATTTAGCATTTAACTTCGCAAATAAACTTCAGCGTATAAAGGTGTTGCATTATTGACATCTCAGATGCACTATCCTTTAGGGTATGCAAATTTAACGCATGAGTCGTGGGTACCCGATTGCTTGAAATCTACATAATGTCCTGGGAAACGGTCCTTAAAAACTGCATAACGACCATGAACATTTTAATCCTACCGGTTGAGTTAGCCCCCGGAGTGAACTTTTCCTCGATCCGGCCGATCGCTGCCACTGCGAGGCTGATCAAACTTTGAAGCTGATCGCCCTCCTCCTGAACGACAGGCTGATGGCAATGCCGATAAATCGCCGGCTTAGCATATGAAAGCCAGGCATGCATGGCGAATGCCGTTCATATGCATGGATATTGGAACTGCTCGGCAAGTGCGGCGGGCAGCCAGCGCGTGACCATGGCAGAGACGAGTTTCTCTTTCTTGCTCATCTGCGCTAAATAATGGGACGGGAGTTCATAGTACATGGCGAGTATGTAAATGATGGCAGTATAACTACTTGTGAAGTAAGGCCCTGGTATGAGAGACTATCAATGTTTGCAGTAATTGATTAAACGGAAGCAGTCTTGATACGCCAACAGGCATTTCGTGTTATGATTGCTTAGAGTAATAATCGATTACAAGCTACATAACTCGTAAGCATATAGCCGAACTCATTTCATACTATCCCTCCCCACTCAAAGTCAACCACCAAAGCATTTCATTCCACGCATGAATTGATGCCGGTCAGTGTAATAAGATAGGCTAAATGTGAGTCACATGAAACACGCTAAAAGTGGAGCGTATACATACAACGCCGACTGCCGAGGCCAGCCAGTCTCTCACTCTGTTAAACATCTAAGGCAGAGGCATTTGAAATGGCCGAACGGCAGCGGAATATTACCGACGGTAGGAAGGCTGTGAATTTTTCAATTTATTGATAACCTGAAAACAAATTATTCAGCACATGTCGAAAAACTCAACCACAACAATATCATAAATGTTGTATGAGAAAGCGGGAAAACAAAAAGCAGATATATCAGTATAACTGAACTGTAGCCGGAAGGTTAGTACGCCGAATGATGAAATAATATGCGGTTTAGCGGTTTTGCCATAGTCGAAACCGAGAACAACATTGCTAATTGGGTCAGGTATTCACCTGAGGACAACTGCCCATGGGTGTAGGAGCGCCAAAAATATTGGTGAAGGATGTCACCTGAACCCTCGGAGAAGTCATCTGAACCTTCGGAGAAGGTGCAGGACCTTACCGCAGTGGAGGGGGGGGGGGGGGGAATTTCGTCAACTCCTCCTGTTTTTTTTTTCTCGCTTTGGATACCTACCAAAGGCATCCACTATCCAAGCATACCTTTGGAACCTAAAGGTATGCTCCACTGCTCTTTTTTCGTGACCAAAGTCTTACAACTTTCCCACGAGTAAAAACAAGCCAATATATTTTGATATTCACGGCATTTACTGAGATTAACGGAAATTTCTGAGTATGAGCGGCCGGCCGACCGGCCGCGGTCACGGTTCTGCGACGCTTATATCTCAGCAACCACTTGACCGATTTACACGCGGTAATTTTTGTACGGTAGCTTCATTCCTTCTACCAAGTATTGGACTATTCCCGATGCATGTGGGTGACCCCTTATGCACGTGCCACGTGCAAAACGAAGAGGTGTCACTTTTGTAATTGTTGCAATATCTCGGTAACTAGGTACTTGGCCGATTGCGCTGAAAGTTGGCATGTAGGTAGGCACCCACTAGGCAATGCATATCCATGTGCCAGAGTTTGGGTGCTGCTGCACGTGCGCACGTGCAGGGGTCGATTCTAGATCTCGACAATGGCTCGACCGATGGCGATGGCGCTCAAATTTGGCAAACAGTTAGGGACCGGTTAGTAGGGTGCCGTGCACAAGTCAGCTGGAGGTACCCCGTCGAAATTTCGCACGTGCAAAGCTCACCCTCTCGCTCGCTCCGTTAGTCGCCCCAAAAGGCGTTATACTGGTTTATTAACCCGGCGGTTGCTGGGGTATTTCGCCACCCACCGTTTGCTGGGGGGGGGGGGGGGGGCGCTAAACGCCCCCAGCCGATAACTCGAGAACCAATAGGCGCAGCGAAACGCACGAGGCGGCAAACGAAAGAACGCGACGAGACGCTTCAGATGAGTACTTTTAAGTTGAATTTTGAGGTCACAGGTCGGGTCAAGGTCAGGTCAAACACCTGAAATCGGACTTTCAGTAGCATGGACTTCAGGACTTCGCAATGGGCGCCTCTCGTCATAAACTCTGTCAAAACGGTGCACAATCCATTCATATAAGGTCTACAAGAGTGTCAGCTCCATGTAGGGGTCAGCCAAGCATAGGTCAGGGTCAAGGTCAGGTCAACCGGCCAGGCACATATCCCCGAAAATCAAAACTGATATTCGCAGCCTGTGACACATGTTTTATGGGTACTTTGGGGCGTAGAACACGATGGTGACATTCATTTTATCATATGTGTACGTGTTTGGCTAAAAAAGTTCAATTTAAGAAATGCATGTATCATGGTCGTGAAGTAGTCGCGAGAAATTGCAAAGATTTAGTTCAAGATTTTGGAAAATGCGGAACGATAATCAATAATCGAAGATAGCCATTTGATTGGTCATGGTATTGGCAGTTCAATGGCGTTTACGGCATGTCTGTATGTCTATTCTGTGATTTTATATGATTTTTTGAACATATGCCGTTTTTAGTCGAAAACTCAGAAATCATGACGTCACTAAAACCTCGAAATCTCAAAAATTTTCTGAACGATTTTTTGAAACTTTGTCACAATAAACTTCAATTAAATCCCTACAGGTACCCAAAATTTGGCGCGCCTGCGGCGCGCCGTTTTTGTGCTATGGCCCGGCGAAAAAAGTGGGGGCGTTTAACGCTCCCCCCCCCCAGCAACTCGCGGGTTAAATGGCGTGAATTGTGAAGAAGGTGGGCATAACACTTCATAACTGAAAGGATGGGGTAATTGGGTACCTGTTGCCGTTTTAGCAATAGCCTTTTTGTTCATCCCATTCGGCATTGCTTTTCTTTTTTTTAACATTAGATCGACCGTCGAACCCAGTCGTTCTAGCATTGGTGAAGACCCTCACCTGCATTGCTCAAGATTGGTGAAGGATCCTTCACCAATCTAAAACTTTGGTGAAAGGTATCCTTCACCAAAGAGATACGTTGCTACACCTATGCAACTGCCTAAAGGATTCCACTGGCTTTGTTAACGTTGTGCATTTTGATAACAAGCTTCTTTAATTACATCTAAAGGACTCGTTTGAGCTGAACCAGCTGCAAACAGCGGGAGAGGTGCGTCGGAGTGAATTAGGAGGCCAATCGGCGGCGCCCCATCTGGCCTGCTGGACATCATATATCAGCTTGCATAGAGAGCCAGCACGTGAAGACAGCGAAACAAAACCTGGGATGACAGTTTGGATGTAATGCCTTTCACTTGATGACATTTTGTGCTGTCGAATATGCTCCTGTTGGACTACAGGGAATGCAAATAGGTATGGCACTTGACACATAAGGGCAGTATGATTGTGTACATACCAGCACCATTGTATACCAGCACACTATGACAAACGCCACACTCACGAAAAGCCTTTACGCTACACCTTTTTCTTCCAAAGAGATGATCAGGGCTTGTTACTCAACGTGCTATGCTGTTTTTTATCAAAAAAAGTATCGGCCTTTCTCCAAAGCGCTCCACAACGCTTCAGAGCTATTGCTGCTGAATTAAGCATTAAAGGAAAGGTGGATGATTCACTCGAGAACAGCATATGAAAATTGCCATAAGAAATCAAAGTCGGAGTAAAGGAGATAGGAAGTAGGTATATTGATCACCCAGACTGCAAAAAAGATCCACTGTCCTCAGCATAATGTTCGTTTTTCTCATCACGTGTGCGTTCATCATGACATCAGGAGTAGCTGGCGAGCTGCCCTGCCCGGCGGGTCAGCAGCTGCTTCTGAATGGCACGTGCGCGCCCTGGGCCGACGGGCCGTGCCCCACGGTCTGGAGGTTCCGGCAGAGGCTCTCCGAGGCCCGCAGCCAGCTGGAGGCCGTGAGGGCGGCCACCTGCGCGGGCGGCGGCACGGAGGCCTGCTGGGAGTGCCCCTGGACCGCCGAGCCGGCCGAGCTGCACCAGAAGCTGCAGCAGGTGCTGCGCG